AATGGCATGAATTTGGAGCAAAATTTCATAATTCGAGCATTTGACATGTTATTCTTCCATGTCTTTGAAGATCTAGGTAGAACAAGTTTTTAAAAACCTTGCATCTCTTTTCATCCTCTACTTTTATCGGTAGCATTTTAAATTCAACATGTTTCACATTCAAATTCTTCAGAGAGAGGATTTTCCAGACTCAGCTGACCACTGTCATCTTGGATGGACAGAACCTTGGACTTGACCACTGCCATGGCTGTATATGGATGAGGCTGGGATCCAATACCTGTTCTCTCTGTATTCAATAACAAGGTGTTCATGTTATATTGTATAGATCATGGCTGCCTGTTTATTTTTGAAAGTGATTTATAAATGAAGAATTGGTATACTAGGCAAAAATTATTCTTTCTTATGAGAGTGTCCCTAAAGATCTTTATTCCTCCCCCAAAAAAACTTTTTGAATATAGCTAAAGAAGGGAATAACAGTCCTATTTCAACTTGAAAATATTTAAATTTCATTAGATGAAAAATACTCAATTTTTAAAAAAAGAAATATACTCTAGTTTAAGTGTGAAATTTCCCCTAAGTCCCATAGTAAAGTAGACTAGATTTTAAAAAATAAACAATGTCTTTGCTCATCTCATAATTCAAATATTTATTTTATTACTGAGCTCTTCCAGGGAACTTTTCTATATTGTAGACTAAGTAAGTCTGATGGAAGTGTTAGCACCCAGGTGAGCAATCAGAAGCCTCATTGAGCTAGTAGGAGACTGTCTCAACCAAGAAATGTAAAGCAAATTAGCCAAATGTGTACTAGGAACATTGCCGTGGAAATACTGACAAACAAAATTTCAAGGATCAGAAAAGCAAAAAAATTGAAGGGTGAATGTCAAGATCAGCAGGACAGAAGGAAGTGTAAGGGAGAGATCAAGAAGGGCAACAGGCAGTGTGCCTAGAGCTTGCCATACATGTGGCACCTGGGGAAATATCATTACAGTAGACTTGAGAGGTTTGATATTTGGTTTGAGAAGTTAGAGCTTGTAAAGTCCTATACAAGCCTGAATAGAAATATTTAAATTTTCCTTAGAATGTGAGCTTCTTTAGCCTTTGAGGAGAAAGAACATACATTTGAGGAAAAAAGAACACTAAGCACTAACATGGAGTCATATGATCTCACATGCCTACTTTTGAACTTGGATTTTTTTTAAAAATGTACATAAAAAAACGACAGTTCTCCAGTTCACTTAATGGCATGAATTTGGAGCAAAATTTCATAATTCGAGCATTTGACATGTTATTCTTCCATGTCTTTGAAGATCTAGGTAGAACAAGTTTTTAAAAACCTTGCATCTCTTTTCATCCTCTACTTTTATCGGTAGCATTTTAAATTCAACATGTTTCACATTCAAATTCTTCAGAGAGAGGATTTTCCAGACTCAGCTGACCACTGTCATCTTGGATGGACAGAACCTTGGACTTGACCACTGCCATGGCTGTATATGGATGAGGCTGGGATCCAATACCTGTTCTCTCTGTATTCAATAACAAGGTGTTCATGTTATATTGTATAGATCATGGCTGCCTGTTTATTTTTGAAAGTGATTTATAAATGAAGAATTGGTATACTAGGCAAAAATTATTCTTTCTTATGAGAGTGTCCCTAAAGATCTTTATTCCTCCCCCAAAAAAACTTTTTGAATATAGCTAAAGAAGGGAATAACAGTCCTATTTCAACTTGAAAATATTTAAATTTCATTAGATGAAAAATGATTCATACTAACAAGCCGAAAATAAAACATGAATTTATAAACTTCTGTTAAGTTTCTGTAAAGTTGTTTAAATATTTTTAAGAATCCAGTTGTCTTTCATGCATGTGTTTTTTGCAGTTATCCAACTGAAAAATCCTCAAAGGCAAGAACCACATTTATTGCTTTTGATTCCTGATAAGAGCTAAGATGCTGTGCTCACCAAGGGTGTTAAATAAATGTTGCTGAGTGACTGGGCCTAAAGATCTCTGGGAGTTATTCAATAATATAGTTTACTTTCACTGCTTCATTAGCTGTCTATATCCACAGAGAGTTGAGATCAGCTATTTAGAATAATACACAGGAATGCTTTTTGTTCTATTATGTCAATAAAAGATATTGAAATTAGAGTGATAGAGTCCTAAATGTGAGTCATAAAAGAAATTATTATCACTTCATATGAGAAGACCTAAATGATCCTTCTTTTTTTGCAAGCTAATAAAATATTTGCTAATAGGCCAAGAGTATGTAATTGAAATTTTCTAGCCCTAAACAAATTTTGTCTAAAGTGATCTAAATTCAATTCCTAAGGTTCTAAAGAAAGGAGAAAATTCAGGCAAGCAAAAATGTTCTTTTCATGTCAGAGGACTCTTCCTTTAAATAAATTATGCTTATGGTTGGAACTATATTTTATAAAAACCTGCCAGCCCTGTGGAAAACCATCCGAGGCACACGGCAAACCCACAAATCTAGGTGACTGAGAGTGGAGGAATGAATCTAGTTTATGGTGGTAGCTTTCTTGGTCTCTAGCAAGTGTATATTTTATTCTCCAGTTTTACACACCACTAAGAGTGATCTGAAACTTTTCATATGAAACATTTTAACTGCAAGGAAATACACATAAAAAGATACTCTAGTTGGGCATGGTGGTACCCAGGATGCACCTTAGTTTGAAGGTCCTGGGTTCAATCCTCACTGTCACTAAATAAATAACCCTCTGTTTTGAATAAAATATGTATTTGATGACCACATTCCTCTAGAGGAGCTGGATGCATTTTCCCTCTTCATTGAAATAGTGACTTTGCTCTCTTATTGAAGAAGATTATAGTAAAGTTTTTACCTCTTACCCAAAAAGTATCTCATTTGCCTTTAAACTCAGTATCAGAACTATCTCAAAATCACAACCAGAGTTTTAGTTTTTCAACACAGTACCAGCTATCCCACACAAAAATTAAATTCAAAATCCAATTTTTTCAAGAGTCCCCATATTCCCCTTCACCTCCTCACAATACATATACTTTCCATCATTATTAACACTTTGTGTTTCTGTGGTTCACTTGCTACAACTGGTGAGCTAATATTGTTACTAGTGTTCATTCTTTGTGCTGTACAGTCTTTTTGTTTTAACAAATGCGTAAGGACATGTACCAACCACTGCAGTCTTATATATAATACAGTAGTTCCACTGACTAAAAATTCTGTCTACCTATTCTTCCCTACCTCACTCAACCCATGGAGACCACTAAATTTTTTACTATCTCCATAATTGTGCCTTTTCCAGAATTTCATATATCTTGACTTATACAATCTGTAGACTTTTTAGGCTGGCTTCTTTCACTTAAAATAAATATATATATATATACATATATATATATGTGTGTGTGTGTGTGTGTGTGTGTGTGTGTGTATGAAAAGACTAATAATAGCAGTATGTTATGCATCGATAGCAGCAACAGCTTTTCCAGGTTCTGCAGTCATCTGAACAAAATTATAGACATTCAGCACATTATTCTTTTTATCACTGAATAACTTTCTACTGGGCAGATATTCAACAATTTTTTCACACGTACTGAAGGACATTTTTGTTGCTTCAAAGTTTTGGCAATTATGAATAAACCTTCTGTAAATAAAGCAAATAGTAATTTTTTTAATCTGCCATAATGTGAAGGATCTTCCTGAAAAGATTCCTCTTAAAAACTTCTTCAACTCAGAAGACAGGACTTCTCCTCTCTACTCTTTAAGCTCTACTCACAGAAAAGAGGAAGAAATTTTAAATAATATATCAATGTAAAAATTACAGTCTGATGCAGAAAGCCACTTATAGAAGGACTGTTAACGCTTCATTACTAAACTGTGCCATGCCCTAAATATGTCAGTACATGTTAGATCATAATTCCTTCAAAGATAGCCTTTATCTATGTTTCACAATTTTGCTACCTAACGAAACTCATAGATCATAGGCATTGCTTAACAAATAACTTGTGAAGTACCATTACATGAAACAAATTAAGCCAACTAATACAGGTATTATTTCAATATAGAAAGAGAAAGGGACAAGGTTATCCCTGCAATCTTCAAACTACGTTCCCACAAATTCCACTGAAAAAGAAAAAAAAATGGTAGTATTTCAGATTGGGAAAAATCCATGTGCTAGACCACCTTCATGGAAATTTACAATATACATCAATACATTGTAGGCTCTAAGGAGTCTTGTAGTGAAAAAAAAAAAAAAAACCTTATTCAAGCTGATTTAATACTGCAATTCCCAAGCATAATAGACAATAGAGCCCTTTGCAGAGAACAAATTAAGGACAATATATGCAAGGAAACCTGAGAAATCTTCAGCTGTCAGTTTTGTTTTGTTTTGTTTTTCAGTTTTTCCAGGTTTTTGTTCACCCACAAGGGAAAGACTACCCATTCCCCTTAAACGTATATAACAAAGACAAAAGTAACATTCCCTAGGGATAATAGTTACAGATGTGAGAAACTTGGAATCAACTAGGGGTCAATTCTCTTTTCTTGAAGTTAGCAGAAAAAAATAATATAAAATGCATTTTAAAATAAGCTACCCAGGCCAAGAGAGGTGTGAGACAGAAGCATAAGAAACTGGGGAAGTAGTGAGAAGAGACCTTTTTCTACTAGATGTAGAATAATTAACTTCAGAAGAGTATGTCTATGGATTTGCAAATGTAAAGTGTAGCTTCTGTCTCTGATCTGAATTCTCTGAGCATACTGCACACTTCAGCGCAGAACATGCTGAACATAAGTGTTTTGTGACCCAACATTACAAGTATGGGCCTAACTCTAACATGTCAACTGCTTAAACCCAGTCCTGCTGAGATATTCATTCTTTTCAGATAGTATTGATGTATAATAACAGTATCTCAGCCCTTGACAAAGAAAAGTCAGCCTGTACCACTGAGAGAAAAACATTTTTAAACACCACATTTGGAATGATATGTTAGAAACTTTTAGTCTCAGAACCTTCAATTGCCGCAGTAGATTTGTCGACCTGTTACATAGGGGTTTCATTTAGTAGCTTTCCAACATATGGGCAATGACACTGGTCTCCATGGTTCCCTGCTACTGGAGTGCCTGAGGAGGAGAGAGTAGTAATTAAACATCTGACAGTCAAGTGGCTGCTCTCACAGCTCAGCCAAGGTTTTTGCAGTGGGCACTAGATATTTTTAATCCACTCCACTGCAGCTAAAGAGACTATACATTTTTTTCACTTTAGTTTGCTTTGTAGTCTGACTATAAAAGAGATGGGAGTCAAACCCCCTCTATTCCTTTTTCTTTCTGTCCAGTTTCCCATGGGGAAGTATGTACACTGCATAAGATATATGAAGTATGAGGGTTCACGCATTGAAATAATTTCTTTTCACTTGTCAGAATCTACATGGTGGACCTTGAATAAAGGAGGAACTAAGGATTCTGTATAAAACAAGCAAAACAGACCCATTGACACATGCATGGGTAAGGGCTGAGACAACAAGTGTTTTCCCCAAAGAGACTGTAAATGCTTTGGGTCAGTGAATGACTCTATCTTGACTCCCACCTACAACACTGTCACCACTATGACAGAGGAGGGTGCCCAACAGCATTTCAAAAATAGTGCCCAAAAAAGCAAAAATATCACTATTGACATTTATCCACTGCTCCTGGTCTCCAAAAATGCAATAAAAATCAAGTGAAATAAAACTAAGCTATTTTATTTGTGTTCTCTTCTGTCTCCAACACATGCAAAAATACCTGACAAGAGGTTAGCCCAAAGGGAGGCTTGATTCATCTGAGATCACTTTTTTAAAAGAAGCAGACTTCTCTCCAAATAAACTATACAAACGTTTCAACCAACTTTTACTTTTTTTTGTTTTCTGTATACTATAAGCATGTGTACATTTATTTTTAAAGAAGTAAATTTCTTGTTTAAACACATGACTTTTTCATATTCAGTGTTATACACTAAAATGCATCCCCAGCCCTTACCAAATTGTGTTGACTCTCCAAACTCCAATGTGATGGCACTAAGAGTGGGGCATTTGGGAAGTGATTAGCCTTAAATGAGATCATGAGGGTGGGGTCTTTATGATGTCATCGCAGAACTTGTCTTTTCTTTCTTTCCATTATATGAGGACACAAGAGAAAATGCTCCTTCTGCAAGACAGGAAGAAGGCCTTAACCAGAACACACACAGTGGCACCAAAAATTTCAGATTTTCAGCCTCTAAAACTGTGAAAAAGAAATGTGACTAACAGCAGAATTAGTAGTCACATGCAAATGGGCAGCAGTGACACAAGGACATATTAAGCCAGGTTATGCTTTCCTGTGATTTCCTTTTGGAGTTTGAGATACTGTGAGAATTTTTAGAACCAGGCAGGTTGGGTCTGCCCTTGTCAAGTGTCTAGATATTACTGCTGCAAAAGTTCAAAGTTCTGTGACAGGACACAAAACACAGCCACTAAGCTTAAATGTAAATAAGCAGGGCTAAACAGCACGCTTGTAAATAGATGCATACCAACACCATTTGTAATTTCCAGACTTGTTGGAATTTAGTGCTATGAATTCCAAAGTCCAATCAAACCTTACCTTTCTATTTTCACAGAGGGAATGAGAAACCATTAACATCTACTACTCGCTAAAGCATTTGACTTGTACTTTTAAATGTTCTGTAGAAAAGAAAATTGTATTAGACAGGTGCTTCAAACAAAAAACAACAGAGATAGGTTATAATAATAATGATGGTTATGACTATTATAGATAATGTTAGATGATAGATGATAGATTAGAGAGAGAGAGAGATGAGAAAGAGATTGATTTATTTTAAGGAATTGGTTTTTAACTGTGGGGCCTGTCAAGCCCAAAACCATATGGCAAGCTGGCAGGTTGGAAATTCAGGAAAGGGTTGATCTTTCAGGGATGCTTTGCATTTTTACTAAAGTCACATGTAAGAAGAGGTAGCTGGGGTGCAGAAAATAAGCAATGAAGATAAAGCATGAGATGTCGAAAGCCGATCATCTAAGGCAAAGATGTGCTCTAAAACAAATGGTTGGAGGAAGAAGGAGGGTGGGAGATAGAAAAAGAATTAAAATGTGTTAAGTACAGATACCAACACCCCATAAGGAATTGAATAATTATGTACTGCAAATATGTACTAATAAAGTAAAATAAATGGTTGCCTCTTGAAGGCTAGAACACTACTTGTTTGTTTGGCAGTTTAGTAGCAGGCACTAGCTTCATGCCTGGCACAATGCTGGTACTCTAAAATTTGGGGTTGTTGTTGTTGTTGTTGTTACTGGGGATCAAATTCAGGACCTTGTGCTTGCAAAGCAGGCAGCGGAATCACTGAGCTAAATCGCTGGCCCACTACAATATTTATTGAATGAAAACATTAATGAATCATGGAGGCAAAAGAGGCTAACAGTACTTCCTGCTTTGAGCCAATCCAGCCAAGTAGATGGCTCTTTGTTTGCTAATGTTTTCAAGATTCATTTCAAAATAATTATCTCTGCAAGTTCACAAAGTGCAGATTTACTATAAATCTACTCTTGGTACCAAGTCAGGTTTCTTAGATATTTTGAAGCTATTATCTTTCATATCATGTTTCAGCATTCAGTATGCATTTTTTAAATTTTTATTTCATTTTATTAGTGTTGGTACATGATAAATGCATTCATTGTAGGTAGCTGGTACATGTACATGGCATATCTTATTTCTTTTGTTTTCTGCTCCTCCCTCCTTCCCCCCATCTCTTTGTCCCCTTCCCACTTGCCAAAGACTTATCTCTCTATTCCCTATTGCCTTTTATTTTCTCTTTGATTTATTTATACTTTGTGCTCATCATATAACAGAAACTATGTGGTTTTTAAGCTTGTGTATCTGGTTTCATTTTTACTAACCTGTGTGACCATAGAGGATAGTAATAGTCATTAATACTTACTGACATTTATCATTTGTTACTGTTTTTAGTGTCCACATTTATCCATTATATTCTACTATTAGCTCCCATTTTTTAGATAAGGAAACTGCAGCACAAATAATTTCAGAAAACTGTTAAAAACATAGACTGGTAGTTAGTGGATGACTTAGAATTTGAAGTCAAGCAATCTGATTTCAGACTATACTAAAATTTACTTAATTGCTTGGAGCCTTACTATGTTCCTATACAAAAGTAAGGAAATAGCTTTTCCTTTGTACAATTTTTGTAGGACTGGAACTAACTTGTACAAAACTTATAGCATTGTGCCTACCACACAGCTATAGGTCTTAAGTAAAAGGCAATAGTGGAAGTAGGAACAATAACAGTAGCAATTGTAACTGGCACTGTAACTGGTGCTGTCTTGATTATCATAGACAAAGTAGGCTCCCTCCACAACCAGCTGATCTTGCAATAGCTTCTTACATAACAAAACTCCACAGGAGGTGTACCTATCTCTACAGCAGAGTAATAAAATAAATAATAAAACCTGCACTTTAAATGTGAATTCAAGGATACAGAGTAATCACTTCTAAATTGTTTGTCATGCTACCTACCTTTGACATCAAGTTTTAGATTAAATATGCAAGAAAGTATGATACATTAATGATAACTACAAATATCTTGCTAGTCCTCATATTGAAAAGCAGGTCTAATTTCCTTCTTGCTCACTCTGAACTGACCTTAGTGAACTGCTTATCCAACAGTGACAAAATTGACATTCTAAAATTCTAAGGCTAAGAGGCCGGGCGTGGTGGTGCATGCCTATAATCCCAGCACTTGGGAGGCTGAGGCAGGAGGATCGCTGTGATTTCAAGACCATCCTGGTTTACATAGTGAGTTCCAGGTCAGTCTCAACTACATAGTGAGACCCTGTCTCAAAAAAAAAAAATTCTAAGACTAAGACATTGATTGAAGCCTTTTAATGGTGGGCTGCTCAAAATACTCTAAGAGTCTTGAGCTCCAAAGAGAAAATCTATCTACACTAAATAGCTTTCCATCCATCTCCTTCAAAATGGCAGACACATAAGAGAAGCAATTGGGGGTCCTCCCCACAAGCCCACCTACATTGCTGTGTATCACCAAGTGACCTCTATCAATGCCCCATGGAAGAGAAATCATTTAACTTTCTAAATTCTTGATAAAAAAATAACAAATAATTATTTAAACTTGGGGGATAGTTTTTTTTTTAAGCCTGTCAACGAGAACAGAAAAAATAACACAAAGAACAAATAATAAGTTGCATAGCACTATTCCCTGATAAAGACTTTTGAATTCTGATGCCAAGAAATAGAATCTACATGAATGAAGTTGAGTGAACAATTCTGCTTGGGGGAAATATATTTAATGAAGAAAACAAATGTTTCAAGTTTAGTTAGTGGAAATAGAATGTGTGATGTCAGTGTATTCAAAGTGATTCTTATTAGTCAACAAGACCTTGTGAAAACAAAATAAGATGGTTGAAATAACAAGATGTTTCCATTCTTACTATCAAAAAGTTGAAATAAATTAAGAATAGAATTTGATCAAATAGAACAGAGGGTCCAATTGAGACTAAAATACATGTGCCATGTAGATACACTTAGCTGGCTGGATCTTCAGATTAAAAATATGCAGTGAGAGAATAACATTCAATTTAAGTTTATAGTAATTAAAGGCAGAGCTTCATGAGTCATGTTAATTCTACTTTGGGAAAGACACTGGAAAAATAAAGGAGCCATTTTTGAAGCAGACAAAAGATGAGATTCTGAATATAGAATGAGAGTTATGCACAAGAGGATTAGATGGCAGCCATGTGCTCCAGACTTTCATCTGCAGACCTGTAATGTCTCCCTTTGACTGGGACTGGGAAAGTGAAGAAAATAACAAAGTAAATGTTTTATTCATATAGACCGAGCTGTATGCCTGGTAGTAACTGCTTCAAGGTAAAAAGATGAGTGAGATGTGAACTCACTCAGAGCATCCATGTGATTTAAAGAAGTTTGCAGTTCATTTACTTAGCCTATCTAGCACTTTCTGGGAGCAATGACAATATCTGCACTTGTGGAGTTATGGTCAGAGCTATTAAGCAACTTACTTAAAGCAATGTTACATTTAAGATAAAAGACTAAAATACAAAATGAAATTGTTTCCAACTCATAGGATTTTATTCTCTCTCTCTCTCTCTCTCTCTCTCTCTCTCTCTTTCTCTCTTGCTCTCTCTCTCCTTCCTTCCTTCCTTCCTTCCCCTCACCTCTTCTCTTTCTGCTTCCTTTCCCTATTTTTCTTCTTTCTTTTTTGCTTTAAGAAGTTTCAATATTTGGAATACTGAGAAAGCCTTTCCTGGGTGTAGTAACACAGATGATACAAGGAGTCCTAATTTCTAGTATGCTTAAACAGCTCCACAAGGTAAAAGGCAACTGAAACTACCCAAGAGCAAGAAGCTTATAAGAGCTTTACTTCATGCCTCTGTATGATTAATATTTTTAATTCCTAGGAACTCCTGTCTACAGAAAATTTTTGCTATTGTATCTACCTCTTTCTGAACACTGCTAGGGAGCATCACAAGGTTAAAAACAGTGGGAAAAAAAGAGGACAGTCACATTTTGCTTTCATCTAACACAAATTAGACATAATTTCTCAGTAATACCTAAAAATTTATGACCCATAAATCTTTATTATTTGACTGAAAAATAAAGTTTAAAGCTACATACAGCTTTAGAAATGTCTTTTTTGTTTTCAATAATGAAAGTTTAAATATTTTGTTAAAATAAACATAGGCAACAATTCTTTTTTTCTATTTTTGGGTACTGGGGATTGAACATGGGACCTTGCACTTATGAGACAGGCCATGGAACCACTGAGCTAAATCCCAGGCCCCAATAATTCTTGAAGTACAAACAATTTTCTAAACATTCTATCTTGGAAAAACACAGTAGTCTTAATGCAATTTAAACACAAGCTTAAGACAGTCTCTCAAATAAAAAATAAAATATTTTATATAATTTTGAAATGTTAAATAATTCAATACTTTGTTTTTTCTTCTAGCTTTAAAATAAATAAATATA